TTTCATTGATTTAATTGCTTTGCTCAGCTTAACGAAATCGTCAAGGCAACAAGGGCATCTAGTACAGCAAACAAATGCAGCATTGGCAAGGCATGACACAAGGCGCTTCGAGTCTTTGACTTTTAGTATAATTCTACTACTTTAGAAATATACCTTTTTGAAGTGCCTGAAAAATACCATTTATTGCAAACAATCTTTTAGACTTTATACTAAAAACACAATATCTGACATCATTGAGAACTTGTTATAGACGGCTTTGTGCAAAGCTTATGATACCAGGCACTTCCTTACAAATTTGTCATGCTAAGGAAAAAAAATTTGTTAGGCAAAATATCATCGCATTAATTAAAAAGAAACTGAGAATCCCCGGTTTTCTCATTAATCTAATAGCTTCATCAATAAAGACACTCAACTTATTCAGGAATCCAGGTAATACAATAATGAAAACAGAAGCTGCATCAGTTCTTTTGTGCCAAAGTGGTTGCTTGCATGCTAGTCAAAAACAGAAAACAATTTTACAAATGAGTTTGGAAAATTTCTATAATTGTGTTGATTCAAACTAAAGCTTGATTCATCATGTCCACTGAATGCCAGCTCTTTTTTAGACAAATGTTAGACAACCTTCATTTATATTTACATTTTCTTCTTATTAGGCCTTTATCCTCATTATGTCGTGTCTCTTTTTGTTCTTAAACATAACTTCAACACACTGGTAAAATCCCTGTTGATCAAGTTCAAGATTTTATAAAGTTGAAAAACAAAATTTCATTTTATGTTTCTTGAAATCGTCAGAAAAATGATGCTTGTTTATACATGCAATATTTGTCCAAGTTTTTGATTTGCACGAAACAGCAAGGAGTATGACCTTGCAGTTAACTACTGATTTTTGTCCTCACAAACACACATGTAAATAATCTTTTCTCCCTTATCAAGTCGATCCGAATCCCCTGCCTCTCATTACAAGTCTTAGCGTGAAATTTGCATGGCTTGCGACATTCTGCTTTTTAGCATTCTGTGCAACGGAAAAACCTTTGTAAAAGCTGAGAAAGAATTAATATATCTTGCTCTTTTATCTGCAGAGTAGAGGTACAATTGTATTTTTAAATGCAATAAAACTGTAGCTAAAACGATGAAAACTTTGAGAGTATTTAAAATAGTTGCTCTAAAAAATTTCAGCACCCTCAAAAGGAAAAATTCTGCGGCTGATTTATAACTAAACCCCTCACAAAAAAGGCATTATTTCATCAGCATTTATTAAAAAAACTTACATTTCAAGTAAAACTCGATGAAAGTGGTACACTGACTACATTAACTTTTGCCTGATATTAGGAGTTCAACGTCTTAAAATTGATGAAGACATTTGACCATTAAACTGTCAATCTTCGTAGCCACAAAAAATACGATTGGGTGCTATCCAAATCGTCTATCATTTGTTGCAAATGGTTGCAAAACAAAAAAATTTCAAGTCATATTTAAACACGTTCATTAGACTCTACAATGCATCATTATCAACCTTAGTCTATTCAAGAAAAGGCTATTACAACATTTTAAACAATCATTAAAAAGAGTAGCTATTTGCTGTTTATGACGATAAAAATGCTAACTACCCTGTAAATATCGTGTTGTTTTTAATGTTTGTGCCATTTGTTTTGATTAACCCTTTAGGAGCCAGGCCTTTTTAAAAGTTCGTACACGTCACGTTTGGTGATTTTGCCTGTGAGCAACAACGGTCTCTAGAGGGTTAAGGCTGCTTTTAATGTTCATTTGCATTTATAGCATGGTGCAGGCGAAGTTGATTAAATAAATGAATAAATAAATAAATGTATGTATGAGCAAATGTATTTGATTTCATCAAATGTAAAAAACTCTCGACTTTTATGATAACTAATACATTTATCTTGTATATTAAATTTTTGGAATTTCTTGATTTTACTTGTCTTGTTGATACAATTATTTTTTTAGATGGAATCAAGAGAAAACAGAAATCTATTTTACATCAGAAGAGTAATTAATGTGGTACAAACTGAACTTGCTCAATTTTTCATCAAAGAATGGAACTCTCGTTACAAATTAACACATGGAGAATGGGATGATACACACAAAAGTGGCAACAAATTTTACACTTTTGAATCAGGAAGAAAAGTAGACCAAAAAACACGTCAAAAATATCAAGATGGAGATACAAGTAAGTGGGACTGTACGATATTATTTGATGCAATAATTTTTTCAAATTCAATTGGAAAGCATCTTGACAAAAAAACAAAGGATGCTGTTCATGCACTTCGTGGTGAAAGAAACAATGACGCTCATTGGTATGAAAGCAGTTACTCAGATGATGATTTTGATGGAATAGTCAGTATCATTGAAAAATCATTTCAATATTTAAAATTTTCCCTCGATGGAATCAATGAAATAAAAATAATCGAAACAAGTTTAATTCATTTCAAGTTCTTCCTTCAAAACCTAATCATTTTTGTTGAACGCACTGAATTACGAGATAAAATTATAAAAGATCTTGAAAAATTAAGGAATGATAACAATGATAAACTGACATATTTTACATCACTGGTAATCCTGGCAGTGGTAAATCGCAACTTGCAAGACAGGTTTGTGAAAAAATATCGTGTGATTGGAAAAATAGAACTTCGTTTGTAATGACTCTCGATGGAAAAAATGAGGAATCTCTTTTAAAAACTTACTGTGAACTTGGATACCGTTTAAACTGTGACAAGTATATGATTAAAAAATTTGAAGATGAAAATTGTTCCATCGCAGACAAAGTGAAGAATTTGCGATCGTTAGTATCCACACGATTAAAATTCTGGCAAAATTGGTTGATCATTGTAGACAACGTGGCACAGCTCAGCAAAATTTCTTCATTACTTCCCCAAGTTGGTGATCCCATGTGGATAAATGGACAAATCATAGTAACTATCCAGAACACAGATGCCGTAACTCAAGACGATGAGTTTAACAAACATATTTCTATCACAAGTGGAATGAATGATAAAGAATGTTGTCAACTGTTGAAGCATTACACTATTGAAAATGATGATGATCATTTGTTGAATGAAGTATCCCACGCATTAGATCATCAACCGCTGGCCTTGGCTGCCGCTGGTTATTACGTCAGTCGTGTAAACAAAGCAAACTGCTCATTCACTTGGAAACAATATTTAAAGAAAATATCTTCAGAAGAACAAGAAAACATGGACGCCACTTTTGTTAAATCTAACTCGGTATATCCTAGAAGTATGTTACAAGCTTCACTTTTAGCTATCAGACAAAATGCTGAAGAATCCTCAATATTGGCAAATGTTATTAACTTTTTTTCCGTGATATCGTTTGATCCTATACCACGAGACATTATTGTTTTTTATGTTCAAAAAACTAATCCCAAACACTCAAAGGAAGATATATGTCTTTGTTTAAAGGACTGCTCATTGTTCTTGCATTCAGAAAATAATGACATTAGTCTACATCGCATTGTTCACAAAGCAATTATTGTTTATCAATCTGAACATTCAAATGAAGAACATGAAATGGAAAGTAACGTTGATCAAATATGTAAAGCACTTTACATGTTTGAAGAAAGAGACGACGAAATCAAATTAATGCCACATCTTGAAAAAATTGTTCAATTATTAAAGACCAACAAGACAAAAATGAACATGAACACTTTACAAGTTTTCCAATATTTTGTTGACAGATTAAGTCATTTTGGAAAATACGATCTTGCTTTTGAAGTATTGGATAAATTTAAATCAGAAGAATCTAGTTATGACAAAGCTTGGTATTTTAATATCCTCGGTATTTTATACATGCACGGGGAATATAGCAAAGCTAAAATCATCACGAAAAGCTCTGGAAATTCGAAAACAATCGTTAGGTCCAAATCATGTTGATGTCGCTGTCTTTAAACAATCTTGGTAATGTGTTTAATAAAACTGGAAACTACGACAAAGCTATAGAGTTTACGAAAAGCTCTGGAAATTCAAAACAATCGTTAGGTCCAAATCATGTTGATGTCGCTGCGTCTTTAAACAATCTTGGTAATGTTTATTATGAAACTGGAAACTACGACAAAGCTATAGAGTTTATGAAAAGCTCTGGAAATTCAAAACAATCGTTAGGTCCAAATCATGTTGATGTCGCTGCGTCTTTAAACAATCTTGGTAATGTGTTTAATAAAACTGGAAACTACGACAAAGCTATAGAGTTTATGAAAAGCTCTGGAAATTCAAAACAATCGTTAGGTCCAAATCATGTTGATGTCGCTACGTCTTTAAACAATCTTGGTAATGTGTATTATGAAACTGGAAACTACGACAAAGCTATAGAGTTTATGAAAAGCTCTGGAAATTCGAAAACAATCGTTAAGTCCAAATCATGTTGATGTCGCTGCGTCTTTAAACAATCTTGGTATTGTGTATTATGATACTGGAAACTACGACAAAGCGATAGAGCTTTACGAAAAAGCTCTGGAAATTCAAAAACAATCGTTAGGTCCAAATCATGTTGATGTCGCTGCGTCTTTAAACAATCTTGGTATTGTGTTACATGAAACCGGAAACTACGACAAAGCTATAGAATTTCATAAAAAAGCTCTGGAAATTCAAAAACAATCGTTAGGTCCAAATCATGTTGATGTCGCTAGGTCTTTAAACAATCTTGGTGTATTGTTTAAGAAAACTGGAAACTACGACAAAGCTATAGAGTTTCAAGAAAAAGCTCTGGAAATTCAAAAACAATCGTTAGGTCCAAATCATGTTGATGTCGCTACGTCTTTAAACAATCTTGGTACTGTGTTTAATGATACTGGGAACTACGACAAAGCTATAGAATTTCATGAAAAAGCTCTGGAAATTCGAAAACAATCGTTAGGTCCAGATCATGTTGATGTCGCTGGGTCTTTAAACAATCTTGGTAATGTGTATTTTAAAACTGGAAACTACGACAAAGCTATAGAGTTTAACGAAAAAGCTCTGTAAATTCATAAACAATCGTTAGGTCCTAATCATGTTTATGTTGCTGGGTCTTTAAACAATCTTGGTAATGTGTATTTTAAAACTGGAAACTACGACAAAGCTATAGAGCTTTATGAAAAAGCTCTGGAAATTCGAAAACAATCGTTAGGTCTAAATCATGTTGATGTCGCTACGTCTTTATACAATCTTGGTTTAGTGTTTAACAAAACTGAAAACTACGATAAAGCTATACAGTATTATGAAAAAGCTCTGGAAATTCAAAAACAATCGTTAGGTCCAAATCATGTTCATGTCGCTACCTCTTTAAACAATCTTGGTAGTGTGTATTATATAACTGGAAACTACGACAAAGCTATAGAGTTTAACGAAAAAGCTCTGGAAATTCATAAACAATCGTTAGGTCCTAATCATGTTGATGTCGCTACGTCTTTAAACAATCTTGGTAATGTGTTTAAAAAAACTGGAAACTACGACAAAGCTATAGAGTTTTACGAAAAAGCTCTGGAAATTCGAAAACAATCGTTAGGTCCAAATCATGTTGATGTCGCTACGTCTTTAAACAATCTTGGTAATGTGTATAATGATACTGGAAACTACGACAAAGCTAAAGAGTTTCATGAAAAAGCTCTGGAAATTCGAAAACAATCGTTAGGTCCAGATAATGTTGATGTCGCTGGGTCTTTAAACAATCTTGGTGTGGTGTTACATGAAACTGGAAACTACGACAAAGCTATAGAGCTATACGAAAAAGCTACGAAAATTCGCAAAAAAAACGTTAGGAACTAGTTAGGTTGATGTTGCTAAGTCTTATAAAAAATCTAGGTGTGTTGTATTATGAAACTCGGAAATACGACAAAGCTTTACAGTTACAGTTTGGTAGCTACGTGTTTCAAAGAAAATTGTGCCTTCAAATTGTGTTAAGCCTATTTTTAACACAATGATCGTAGGAGCAAGGCTTCCACCTGCCAAGTCTGCTTCCCTCTCCCTCAGAAGGTAATTTTGGTGGTTAATAAAACCTTTGCAATTTGCATTTTGTGAGGTAAAATGAACCTAAAGATGTAATGATCCTTGTCTATATATAGTTTCACTGATATGTAGTCAATAAACTTACTCTAATGCCCAGGAATCATCCTAAGTAGACTTTAGAACTGCCCATGCCCTGAATCTGACATTCTCCTTTAGACTTTATTTTTAAAGTAATTTGTTTTTATGTTATAACCTAGTAGTAATTTTTCTTGTATGATTTACAAACATACTAAAGTATATTAGGAAGACAGAATTTTGTTAAATAAATACTATCCTGTTAGTTGTTCATATTCTTTGATACATTCAGTAATTTTTTACCCAGCTCCATAAGCCTATGACCATATTCCAGGTTCCTATAATTTCCAAGGGGTACACCTTTCATACCATACAAACCACCCACCATGCTGCAGCCAATATTCCTGTGCTGTCACTATCTCCACCATGAAACATAGAACAAGAGCACAATTGAAACCAGGAATCTTTTGCCATCATCAAAGCATCGTAACCAATCATTGGTGCATCATGACCACTGGACCTACCCCAACCTGCATAACTCACAGATTTATAAAAAGCATCACGTTCAGGTATGTTATATGTCACTGGAAACTTTGGTTCGCTGGTTCCATTCGTTAATCCCCGTAGTTCAAGATATGACTCCCAACTATTTTTAAAGTAGCCCCAAGATTTCTTGTTTTCTTCTACATCAAGACCAACCTTCTCAATGTATTCCCAAACTTTGGGTAAAACACTTAAAAGTCCTGCTCCCCATTTTTTTGGAGCCATCTTCTGTATAGCATAGGCTGGAAATAAAGCTGCAGTAACAGCCCCAAGATAACCTATAATTAAAATCATTATCTTTAAAGATCATTAATTTTAGATCACTTATATTATGATGACCCTATTTACATAATAGCAGCATTTTGATATGGATCATGGATTCAATGGCTGTAGTAATGAAGATATTAAAGCAAAACAGCAATGGCAATTCAAACAGTTTTTAGAACACAGAAATTTGGAAATGTGGAAAAGCGATAAAAGGGATGGATCAAAGATATGGTCATTTAAAGTGAGCAATGTTAGAAGGATGGAGGCATTTGAGATGTGGTTCTAGAAAATGATGGATTGCATAGACTTATGCAAACCTAAGGTCAACCTTTTCTTTTCATTCATCAATTGATATTAAAGTGGTTATATCACGAATTTTAGCCCCCCTTTTTTATTAGCTAAATTGAAAGACCTTGTTTCAGTGATTTTAAATCTGCAATTATAATTGAAATTGGATTGGTGAAAGTGATTTTACGGACGTTCAAAGTCACGATTTTCAGCATTTTTTTTGCGAACTTTTTGATCGGTATGCTAATGACTTGTGACGTAGAAAGTTGAACACATTTATCAACATGGCGTATTCTACTAGTAATCTTAATAAGAAACGCGGAGGAAAACGCTGTGTTGCTGGCGGAAATAATCAAATTAGTTGCACCAATGATTCAAAAACCGAAGGAATGTCGATGCATCTGTTTCCTAAAAAAGAAACAGTGCCGCAAAGACATAGAAAATGGGTAAATTTTGTGCGTAAACATAGACCGGGTTTTGAGGCTTCCTCTACCTGGTGTCTGTGTTCTGCGCATTTTGAAGATTCTTGTTTTGACCTTAATTTGAGTGTGTCAAGCTCAAAGAAAGTTGAAGAAAGATGCTATCCCAAGCATTGACGTGGCTGGGATTCCTGAACCATTACAGGACGAAATAACTGATCGAAAGCGAAGACAAGTAAGTTTACGCTTGTTTATGTTAATTTTTCTTTGTCATATGTAAATTCGATATAAGTTTTGTAGATTATTCGACATACTCTCCATAAGCCATCGCTGAAGGAAACATGTTCTCTCAATGAGGAAGTACCATCTACTAGTGATGAAGCTGAGCATGTTTAAGTATGCACTGGGGAAGCAAACGATTCGCCATTTGAACGGCTTGCTATTTTCCATTTTTACATTTATGCTATGATTTAATTCCATATATTTTTTCTTTTGTCTTTTTCCCAGACTGACATTGAAGAAAAGATATTCTCTCATTTAATTCTTTCAGCTTAACCTCTCAGTAGTTGCACCAATTTGTTTTTATTGTTTACTCTTGTTTCAAACCATTAAACTGCATGTCAACTTATATAGTGCATCCATGTATCTCCTATTTGGTTTTCATCGAGGCATATTTCCTGACCACTCCAAACTCAGCAAAGAAGGTCAACAGTCTCTACAGCACAAGTTAAAGACTATTCCATCATCGCCCCTCTGATGGTATGTAACCTGTTGTGTTACCACTTGGATATGCTTTCCGAATAAAGTGGTAAACACAAGCAGGTAAAGGCCGAGTATTCTCCCATCCCATAGACCCACAAAACCATCGCATCAACCATCTGTATGCCACAGCTCTCAAGTACCTGAAAAATAAAAGGTTGGACTAATTATTGTTGATGAAACAATGTTGATTATAACATTGTTTCTCATACAATTTACAATCTTACATATTTAATGATTGTGATGCTTGGCGGTGATAAGCACGTCCATTCCTATCTCTCAATAGTGGCCCAACGTTTTCAAGGACAGCCTCATGAACTAAAGGCCCAAATTTGGCATGCTGTGTTATGCATGATATTTTCTCAATGCTGCCATCGAATGTGATTTTCTGCAAAGCTGGTCCAATTTCCTTACAGCATCTGTACTCTAATGCGCCTTCTAACAAATCGGTATGACAGCATTGACAATTACACCTGAAACGTGGGAGCATTCTGGTTTATAAAGTAACTTTATGTATATTACAAACAGGAGAAAACAACAACTTACCATTCACCAAGTGGAATTACGCCATCACTTCGTTGTTCTAATGTCGCAGGGAGAATTCCATCGGGATCATCTGGAGTATGCACTTCATCACCATCTCCTGCTAGCGGTTCATCGTCATATGCGAAGTCATTTAAATGCTCGACATAACCACGGATTCCGAGCTCGAATCAGATACGCATTCAGACATCGAATTCGAATTATCTGAGCACTGATTTGAGGCCATACGTTCCGGAAAACTTGTTTTTTAATATTTTATTGAAAATACTGTCATTATTTGTTTTTAAGACAAGAAAAACGACAACAAAATCACCTCCTATAATATAATATTATATTGACGGAAACAGACGTGTTCAACTATCTACGTCATAAGTATCAATATGGCATCGTAAAAAATTCGCAAATAGTACCCGACTTTGGAGGCAAAATCAAGCAACTTATATTTATCTGTTTAAGTCCAGCGACATGTCATAGTTCTTCAAATAATCCAAATTTTCAATTAAGCTCATAAAAAAGGGGGGCTAAAATTCGTGATATAACCACTTTAAATAAAAGGTTATGAAACATTCATGGTAATGGCTTGATCAAGTAAGTAATCGAAAGAAGAGTTGAAGATAAAACATCTAAGAAAAGCAATAGGATTGAAAAGCTAAATTACTCTAAAGGTTTGTTAAAATGAAAAGCAATGCAGATAACAGGAAAACCTAGCAAACTTTATACAAAGCAACACTTGTTGATAGACAAAACACTAGACATTAGTGACTTGATAATTGATACATGATCTGAAATCGTTGCTTTATTATGAAAGGTGAATACCTGTGGGGTGATTATGAGTCATCCTTCCACTTTCAACAGCAATTTCAATTAACATTTCAATTTGATCTTCACAAGGAAACATCAAACCTATACACATGGATCTCATAGCTGCACCACATCCTCCACCTCGTTCATTAAATGGTATAATGTAACCTTTTTCCTCAAGAGGTTGTAACATGAAACATGCCTTTGTTGTGGTCTGCCCAGGAGCTCTTTCCCACATATCCTCAGCACATGTCTTCCTGTACTTTGTAGCCATAATGCTCAATAACTCTTCCGTTGTTGTCCATTCCGAAACCAACGCTTCTGCTGTAGCAATGTGTAGTACAGTGTCGTCACTAACCCTCCATCCTTTAATGTCAATTTTTTCAAGTCCTCCGAGTTTTTCTAGTTCTTCATGAATTTGAGTACCACTGTAACAGAAATCCCACATACCATTCTTATAATCTAGAGCATCCCCCACTCCCCTGAGAACCATAACTGCTTCGTATTTCTCGGATAATTCGGCCGTATTTTCAAGAGCCATTTTTAATATGTTTACTTCACCGTAGTTTAATGAATTTTTTTGAAACACGGGGAAAGTACTAAGCTTCCCTCAACTTAGTCAACTAATAAAAACGTAAAAAACTTTTCTTTGCTTCGTTTCAATACTGTTTCATACTATTGTTTAGATTTAGACGAGAGCGTTGGGAGACTGGGACTGTTATTTTGTAATCCTTAATCTTTGCCCGATTCCATGATCTTCAATCTGATTAACATATTTGTTTTAGCAAAGATTCTTTAAAATTTAAAGGTTCCTTTCTTATATCGTGGATTATCCGACACGGATTTAATCCAATTTTGACAATTTGATTGCACATACAACAATTTGTACAAACTTCACAAAATTTCAGCTCTTGGCAAATCCTTAGGTTATGGCACATCCCATTGTTATAAATATGTCACGAAAATTTAATTTTGTTATTGCATTAAGACTATTTCTTTCTTCACCCATACTATACACAACAAAATCACCACAGAAGATTGTATTGTGCTTCAAAATTAATTGATTGATTTACAATGTCTGGTAAGAATTATATATTCCACATGACAGCTTTCACATGAAGAGAGACCTAAATGAACATAAAATTTAAACTTAAAATCATAAACAACTGGACAGAGA